AAGGCGACGCCATCGCAATACTCGGTTCAGCACGAGAACGACGCCGAGCGCGGCGGCTGCATCTTTGGGCACTTTTTCGAGGTGACGCCGCGCGACCTGATCGGCGATGGGCTGTACCACGACCTCGCCGTCGGCTGCTTCACCGACCCGCACCGGCGGGTGTCACTCGCCCTGCTCGCAAAGGCGCTCGGCGCGACGAATCGGACGGTCCGCTCCACTGTGCGCGGCGCCCTCCCCGGACCTTGAACGATGGCGCCCTTCTTACCCCCCTCTGTTATATAGTTAGAGCCCCCCGACTGTGTTAAGTAGTAACGTGTTACTACGCTCGCGCTGCCTGGGTCAGCAGGCAGGCTGTGGCCTCCACATGGGTGCCTGTGCGCTGTGCCTGTGGCAGCAGCCAGCACGCGAGACGCGTGACGCGTGCAAGATAGCCCGAGGGCATTCGTTTTTTACCGACATCGCCGCACGCCTGCCCCAACCAAGAACCAGCGGGGCAAACTCAGTCTATACGTACCTTAAGGTACACATACTGTACCGTACCAAAGTCTGTGCAGGTGTGAACAGCAGCTCCTGAGCACGGCGCCGCAGGCGCCTGTTGATAGGTCCAGGTGATAGCCCTAGATGGGCAATGCATACGCCTCACTGGGCCTCAGATCGCCCGACCGCGTCCCGGTGCTCTGTGGTCGGATTTGTGACGCCGCCGCACCGCGCCGCGGCCGGGGGCCCTCCGGAGGCCGAGGATGGCCGTGAGGATCGTCACTGTGGTTACTGACCGGCAGGTTTGTGCCCCGCTTAGATCATTTTAATAACCCACTCGGCAACCGTCGCCGGCGGCGCGCGTTGCAATCAGCCTTGGCCCTTGCTAGCCTTCGAAGCTTCGATTTTGAGAGAGAGAGAGAGAGATTTGATTACGTGTGATTGTTAGAGTTGAGATTTGAGAGAGAGAGATTTTAGGAAACCAACAAGAAATCACGACTCTCACAGTGATTTGGGCTCGGCAGCTTGTTAGCCCTCAGCCGAAGCTGGGGCCGGTCCCGTAGCCTCTGGACAGGGTGGCCCGCCACAACGACCCCTGGAATTGCGACTCGCCGCTTTCCTCCCGCTGTGATTCTGTGTGAGCTCTGTGTCTTGACTTGCCAACAATATACCTACAACAGTGACAGTCACATACATGACGGCGACCCCCGGGGGAAAAGGAAATGACAAAGGTTTGGTAGTCTGGTAGCCCCCCGCTACCCAGTCGCAGTCGTGCGACGTAGCGGGGGGCCACGACTACGTTTACGAAAACATAAGTTGTTGCGCGAGGTGTGAATTGTTCCGCCCCCAGAAGCCCCATTTCGCCTCGAGTCGCCAGCAAATCTTTTGACGATGCACGCGCCCCAAAAGCGGCGGCAAAGGGCGGGTGACCGCAGTGCGTTCGCCGTTGCCTCTGAGGAATGGCCGAGGCCGGCGCGAAGGCTGCAGTCGCTGCGCTCAAGGACGCGACCCTGATCAAGTCCAAGAAGGCCGACTGGCGGCTCGTCGCCGCGGCGCAGGCCATGCTCCGCGGCGATCACCCAGATGAGTTCGCCGCGGCTGCGGCGATGGGCAAGCCGATAAAGCAGCGGAGGGAGGTCTCAAACTGGTTGGACAAGCTCCGCGAGCTGGAGCGGATGCGCGCGTCGCTGCGCAGCCAGCCCGGGGGCAGCGGATCGGCGGCGGGCAGCAGCTTTCTCGCGCAGGTGGGCAGCAGCCTCCTCGCACAGCCTTGCTGGATTGACGAGCATGCACCGGGCGTGCAGCAGCTGCGCGTGTCGGCGCCGGTCATCTCGCCCGGCAAGCAGCACGCGACGCGCTCGCTCAGCGCGGTTGTGACGACGCCGCTCGGCTCGAAGCGTCCGGCCAGCGCGACGGTCGAATACACGCTGCCACCCGACGGCGAGCCGGCGAGCGCCTCAAAGCGGCGCGGCGACCGGCACCGCAAGCGCGAGGAGCGCGCCATCAGGTCAATGGACTTCAGCGAAGCAGCGCAGACCCACGCCTGGGTACGGCTGCCAGTCGATGCGCCACCGTATGGGCTTTCTGCGGAGCTGCTGCTCAGTTCGGCTTGGATTACGCGGCATCTGACCCTGATCGAGCCGGGGAGCTTGGTGGTGGGCGAGCTGCAGCTCGTTGACGAGTTGACTGCTTTTCGCGAGATCCACGTGACGGTCGACGACGCCCACTTCCGCCCCTTGTGCGGATTTCCCGGATATTTATATCCGAACGTAGGCGATTTAGATGACTACCTCAAGAATCCGGTAGCCCCAGACGGGGAGAAGTGGCCGTCGTCGATGTTGGAGAGTAATTGCTGTGGTGCGCCAGTGCAGCTGATGACGATCACCTCCGACGTGAATGGGGTAGGGCGATCAACAGATGCTACGATGGTTGCTTGGCTGCGTCACGACTTCGAAAGTGATGGCTGGGACCACGTCGCCTGGGACTTGGTAGGACGCCACCAAGTCAGTGGCGCGGTGGCGATGGGACGTGTGCCTGAGACGTCGTATGAGTACCTTGCAAAGTTCTATGATGATTTCTATGGAGACAGAGCCACGTTGCGGCAAGACCAAGCCATCATATCATCTCTGACTGCGTCGAAGACCTGTGCTCAATGCAAGGGTGATGTGCCGGATGTTGCGGTGCGCTGGCGATGCGATGCGTGCGACTTTGATTGTTGCTTGGCGTGCGGCACCTCGCAGCAGGAGGACGGCCTTAGTACGGCGGTGGGGTATGATCTGCCTCCCGCGGCGGGAGAGTCCCAAGCCGAGAGCAATCGTCGCAGGGAGCGTCACCGCAAACGCGAGGAGGCAGCTATTCGCGATCTTCACAGGTGGTGCGTGGGAGGTCGCGTGTGCGCGTGACCGTGCTCCGTGGTGTATTTATTTCGAGTTTTGGGACTTTTTGTGTAAATGTAGCGGGGGGCCCCGCCGGAGGCTGGTTACTGATTTCTTTGTTCTTTTTTGTTTGTGTCACAAAATCGACAAACAAGACAACTCTCTCTCTCGTGTGAGTGTTAGAGTTGTTTGGTATTGCTAAAAATCTTCGGCGCGGGCTCTCTGGGCTAGAGGGCTACGGGACCGGCCCCAGCTTCGGCTGAGGGCTAACAAGCTGCCGAGCCCAAATCACTGTGACAGTCGTGATTTCTTGTTGGTTTCCTAAAATCTCTCTCTCTCAAATCTCAACTCTAACAATCACACGTAATCAAATCTCTCTCTCTCTCTCTCAAAATCGAAGCTTCGAAGGCTAGCAAGGGCTGCCAAGGCTGATTGCAACGCGCGCCGCCGGCGACGGTTGCCGAGTGGGTTATTTATTAAAATGATCTAAACGGGGCACAAACCTGCCGGTCAGTAACCACAGTGACAGTCACATACTATGCCGTCCCTCGCTACCCAACGCGGCCAAAGGAACCTCGAGATGCCGTCCCCGGAGAAAAGTCAATGAGAAAGGGGAGCACGAGGACCAGCCTGCTGGGCGGAACTGTGGCTGTGCCTTCCAGCCTTGTCAATTGAGGCCGTAGCTGGGCCCCCCAACTGGCCCAGATGACAGAGCATGCTGACACGGGCGACGCAACACCTCCGCCCCAGCGGGCAGCAGGGAGGTCCTACATGCAGGCTGAGCTGCAGCAGCTGGCCGCAGATGCGCGGCGGGCGGCGGCGGAAGCGGGCCTCACGCTGCTCCGCAGCCACTGCAGCCTCAGCGGCTACCGGGGCGTGCTGAGAGATTCAGACAGCACCGTCGGGTTGAAAAACCCGTACCGCGCTCAGGCGCGCCCGCGCCTCTCCCCCCGTGGCCTCCGCCCCTGCCTTGATCCGTGCCTCGCTCAACGCTTTCTCCCCTCGGTTGCAGGTGCGACGAGGCGGGCGGCGGGTCACGCTCGGCCGGTTCGCCACCGCGGAGGAGGCGGCGCTCTGCTACGCCCGCTCCCCCGAGGGCGAGGCGGAGGCCAGGCTCGCCTTTGACTCTGAGCGCCAGCCAAAGGCGCACGGCCCGCGCTCGAGCGCGCAGCGGGCTCTGACGCCGCACTCGAACGTGCCGGAGCGAGCGAAGAGGGAGGGCCCGCGCGGCGGCGTGCGGAAGCGCCAGCTCGACCGGCCGATACACTCCGCTGCCTCAGCTCCGCGCGGGTGGCAGACGGACGGCTCTCTGGACGTCATCAGCTCTGGGGCGGAGGAGGCGGAGGCGCGGGAGCCGGAGGGCGGCGCGGAGGCGGCCCGCGGCTGGGATCCCGCGCCCGCCGAGGCGGAGGAGATCGAGGCGGCGGTCGAGAACCTGATTCGGATGAAGTCCCACCAGGTGGGCAGCGCGGAGGTGTACTGAGCCCGCGGTTGGGTGCGGTCCGCTGACGGCACCTCCCTTCTGGCCGGGTGGGTTTTCCCCCCCCCCCCCCCCCCGGCACCTGGGCGGCGTCTTCTTTTGTTCGCTGGGCGAGCGCGGCCTTACTGCGCATCATACTCCTACTCCTCGAACTGACTCTGTTATGCCACGACTCTCTCTCTTACTTATATGATTGTTGCGCGCGGGGTGCGCTCTGTGCTGTGACTGGCGGTTCTATCGGCTGTGGTGCTATCTAGAGAGAGTGCGGGGCGCTCTCTCGGTCAACTTGTACATGGTGCATAGGTATTTTTTTAATTTTTTGTGTAATTGATTTGTCTATT